ATCACAGACATCTACACCTCCAGATGCAGGAAGAGGGCCACCTGCATTATGAAGGACCCCACTCACCCAGCACACACACTTTTTGCCCCACTCCCCTCAGGAAGGAGATTAAGGAGCATTAAGTGTAGAACCACTAGACTGAGGAACAGCTTCTACCCTGAGGCTGTTAGACTCATGAATCTCTAACTAGAATAATCACTGTGAAAAACCATATCATGTTGCTGCTGATCTGTTTTATGTTGCTGCTGATCTGTTTCAATGTTGATGTGTTCATGCATGCTCATCTGCTCACAGACTCATGTTCATGTTTGTGGTGATGTTCAATGTTTTATGTTATGAGTGCTTAGTGTATATTTAGTTGATGTTTTCCTTAGTTCATATCTTAGATGTTATTACTGTTTTTCTTTTACATTTTATTGTTGGATGTAACTGGGACCCTGTGTACATAATTTCGCTCCACCACATGTACCACATGAGGTGCGAATGACAATAAAGAAACTCTGACTCTGACTTAATGTAATTTATATGGACCAAGTGGGGCCCACACAACAGGTGGGCGTGGACTAAACTTTTCAGTGCGATGCTTTGCATGACGGGATAAAACCCACCAGCGAAAGCTCTTAAAGGGCTATGCCTATAATCATAGAATCTGGGGTTACAGTACGTAACCAACGTTTTAAACACTACTGTTCAACACACAGAGAGAGTGAACTCCACAGGTCTTCATGACAACTACCTCCCTCCATACTGAATGACCAAACACAAACTAACACATAATGAACACAAACTAACAAAAACAGACTAATCACTAAAAGAACAATGTTGAACAGATAACTTAAATGATTAACAATTAACATAAATTCACCCATAATCCCTCCCTGAGGCCATGTGACCCAACAGTCAACCGCAATGAACCAATGAAGTAGTCTCATTGAGTCACGAGGACCTGCCCCCAAGAGAGACGTGTATTGATGAGACTACCTGTATAAATAAAGACAAAAAAAATCTGACCAATGAATTTATCAAACAGGTCACATTCGAACCAATGAAACGGGGAATCGACCATGTGCTCCGCGGAGGGTGGATTCCCCCCCTCCACTCTGTGTGTGTAAAATGGTAAAAAAAGTCCTTTTTTCGTTCCGTTTTGGACAAAGAATTTAAATGACTAAAATCATTATTTATGTTGTTGATTACTTTCTGTCTTGATTTTATGTTCTGTTTGAAATAAAATGATTCAATCAGTTCAGTACTGTGATAAACCGTCTTTTGTGTGTGTATGTGTGTGTGTATAAGAGTGTCAGCAGCCACCTTGACAGCCACACTTCCTTCCAGTTTGTCCATCTCCCCAAGGAGAACAGAGAGCAGGGAGGACTTTCCTGAGCCAACAAGACCCACAACAGCCACCAGACTGCCTTCAGGGATGCACACATTCAGCCTGGACACACACACAATCATTTTTAATGATAAATACTTGGATATAAACAAGTAGAAAAAAACAACAACAAATACGTTTAAAAAAAAAACTACAACAAATTAAATCCTAAAAATGAAAAGTTTCTGTGGGAACATGCTCAGAACAGACTGGACAAACCTCTTCAGTGTTGGAGATTCAGTTTTGGACCAGCTGAAGACACCATCCACTATAGACACACTGTTTGGGGCTGGGAAAAAAAAAATAAATCAAAAACAAAAGAAAGTATAAACAACCACAACCAGGGTAGCCAGGAGGTGGCCAATGGTGGCCTTTAATATTTAAGATTAACGATTAAAGATAAATAATTAATCTTATAATTAATATCACAGACACATACACACCAACGTGTGTGTGTGTGTGTGTGTGTGTGTGTGTGTGTGTGTGTGTGTGTGTGTGTGTGTGTGTGTGTGTGTGTGTGTGTGTGTATTTATAGATTGAATTTTGACGTGGCAACCCAATTTAGGCAACTTCCTTACGCCTAGACCAGGGGTCTGCACCCTGCGGCTCTTTGGTCCCTCTGCAGTGGCTGACATAAACTGAATTTTATTGGTTATACAAACAACAAAAAAGGATTAGTTCAAATAGCTTTCCTGTCATTAATTTTGCAAATACGTGAACACTGGAGCGAGTACAAGGAGGAAAACAATAATCACTTTAACTTGATGCAAGAACTGTGCATTGTTTATAGATTTTTTAAATTAAAATATAAAAAAAAGGTAAAAACTGATTTTTTTTCTCCTCTTCTTTACAATAATCTGGTCTTTTTCTTTAATAAATGTCAAAAATCTTTTTTTTTTTTTTTTTAAACTTTATAATGTCACCCCTACTGGCCACAAAAGCCCCTTCATCAAACCTAAAGTAGCTCATGAGCCACCAGTTGAAACCACAGTTGTAGCAGGTTGTTGCAGCTCTGGACATTGTTAAAGTAGTGAATGAAGGCATAAAAATGACTCTTTTGATCGTAAAGGTTGCAGACCCATGGCCTAGATAAAGCCAGACATCAAAATGGAAGTTGGCACGTTACACAGTTGTATAAATTTAAAATAAAATAGTATTTACTTTGTATTTGTATTTACTTTGTATTTACTTTAATAGTATTTACTTTGTGTTTTTTGGCAACGTCACCACAAGTTGCGCTTCCTAAATCATGTTACCAGTTTCTGTACGTCTTTGTAAAAGTGCAGCTTAATTTGGAGAGAAGATGACAAAAAGAAACACCAGTGTTTCTCTACAATTATACAAGCGGGGCGCCTCGCCCCGTCTACTGAACCAAGCACCCCGTCTCCCGAACCATGTGCACCCCCCACCAACACGTCGGCACTAACGTAATGCTAATCTAATGACTCACAATACAGGTGCGTTAGCTAAAAAGCTAAAGACAGCCTGCTTCTTATGCTGACCCCCCCCCCCCCTTCAAAAACTGTCGATACAAACAGGCGCAGCTCAGATGCATCTCTGTCCCCCCCCCGGCCGCTCTAAAACTGTCAGTATAAACAGAGCGCTGCGCAGCTCAGGACGTATCTCTGTCCATCTCTCCCCCCTGCCCCCCCTCGACAAAAAACAAGGAGGAGATGAGCACCCCGCCATGGGAAGTAATCCTGGGGAGACACTGTGTTTACTCACAGCCAGCGAGTGTTTTGTGTTCCACACTGTCTTCCTGCAGCTCCTCGTGTGACAGAAACACCCTGAGCCTCTTCAGGGACACACTGGCCTGAAGACAGACACAAACCAGAGTCAAAGTGTTAACAAGCAGCACCCCATGTACTCCGTCCCTGAGAGATTTGAACAGTGAAGGTTTAGTTTCCTGAGAGGAGTGCTTTTTAGACTGGAATTGAACCAACAAAAAAAAGAGTGTTCATATGTACAACTAACTGAGGTTTGGAAATAAAATAAAATGGATGTCACAGCCAAGTGACATTAAAAACATAAAACTGATTAAAATGCAGTCTGGTTTACAAATATTGACCAGTGTGGTAGTAGCTGAGAATCAATCAGCACACATTCTCCAAGTGCTAACTCATCATTCGAGAGCTTTGCTTAAAACTTTACTATTAACTGCCAACACTGATGGTCTATTAGCAAAATATCTCATCAACCTGAGGATGAATTGTGATGAAACTTTTAGAAAGTGTAACGTGAGGGTGCCTTGTGTGACGATTAGACCACTCCAGATGTAAAGATGAGCAGGATACAAACAGATAACTTTATGAACGGCAGATCTACCATCTCCACACTTCAGCACCTCAAAAAAACACTTCCAGCTCTTGACCCATCTGCCCTAATCCAACCACAGAAGTTAGATGGAAGTAAGGTAAGTGAACATCTATAATGTGTAAGCGTAGTGCTTCAAAATGTTTCAAATTTTCATATTTGTCTTTTTTCAAATTTGTGAAATCTGCTTCTTTTTGATTATTCATATGTATTTTTTTTTATATTTACAATAGTCCCTCACTACTTCACGGTTCATTTATCGCAAACTCGGTCTATTGCGGTTTTTCAAACTAAATTGGACATGACACACAATTAGCTGATTGATGATGAGCTGCACGATCAGCAGGGAATTTTTATGTAAAATAAATTATTTTAAATTATTTAGCACCTGGCGCACATTTGTACAGCCCACACTGCTTCCTCCTGCAGCTGATCAGCTGTTCTCCATGCAGAGAGGAGAAGTGGGCGTGGCCAAGAATGCTTGCAGGTGTCAAAGAGCAGCGGAGGCAGAGAGAGGGAAATCATGACATGCTGTGCTTTTTTAGAGCGTTAAGAGTTGAGAAACACCTTTAAATATATATA